CACACACACACTGGTGCTGCTGGTCATGTACAGCCATCTATCCAGATAGGCATCCTCTGGAATTCCTTTCCCTTCCTCTGAAAAGAAAACAAAGAAATCAACAACAGGAGAGTTTTTGTTTGGAAGGAATATCAGAATGGGAGAATTTAGTCGTAATCAATTTATCTCCTCTATTTCAGACACCACATTTCTCCAACAATACAATTTTGAAAAGGAAATAGGAGATAAATTCTGGATCAAAATTTATTTTGAAATCTCAAATGCAAGAACCTTTTGATTATTTAACTTGTGAGAATTTAAATCTTTTTGAACAGTGGTATTTATAAGTGGAATAACTCTTTTACTCTCTATTAATACTGTTCTGTTCACCACAGTTTGATTTTAGTGGCCTATGCTGTTACTGTTTGTGGGATTTGATCAGTTGTAATGTCAGATTTGACATACAGAATTTTTGTCACTGGAAATAATATATTTTTTTAAGTGTTTGAAACTAACAGATTCCTCCAAACTGGGGGTGCGAACATATTATGCAATTTCACATTAATAATTTTATTAGAATGAAGAAATATGAGCCACAGGTGCTAGTTTCATTAGTATGTGGTTCCAGTTGCATTTTAGTGAAAATAGAATTCCTAAAATAAAGTTGAATGAACCGTCTGTTTTAAGGAAAGCAAGCAAACAGAGGTAGAAAGTAGACTATTGTTGCTGTCATTTGAGAACTTCACCTGAGGCAGAGCCCTGCTATACCAGGAATTCAGGGGTAGAAGCGCATGTGCTTTCTCTGTGATATGCTGATGATATTCTTCTTGCCTGGCACTACTATTTACATTGTAAATGCTAATATGAGAATTCAGAGACCTCATTCCTTCTATCCACTGGTGTGCTGAAGTTGGCTTGTGTGAGCTCAAGAGAGTGGGTAATTAATTTTTTTAAAAAATTGCAAGGTGGTTGTTAACTATATCTATTATTAAAATAGAGGTTATAGAAACATATAAATACATAAATTATAAACAAAGGTAATACATTCTTAAAATGCATCACTTCCTAATTATTTTACATATATTATATAAACATATAACTACATAAATTGTAAACAAAGGTAATATATTCTTAGAACTCATCTCTTCCAAATTGTTTTACTGTTCACCATGCTCTTTGTGTTACTTATATCTATTATTTCTGTGTGGTGGTGGAAATACTAGATAATAATGTGTCAACACATGTCTAACTCTGTGTTCAGTGACTTTGTTTTAGTACCTTGCATTTGGCCATTTCAGGAGTATTTATACCACGGAAATCTGGCGAATGCTACAAATAAGAGCCCCTTCTTCCCTCCCACCTAGAAAGTCAGTTGTTCAATATTTACCAGTGCACCCTGGTAACATCACATGGTTGTTGAAAAGATGGCAATAAGCAGCCTTTCTCACAAGATGACCTGAACTCAGTCGGTTAATAAACCCTTTTTCCATGTTCAAGAAGTTGAGGGAGTAGACTTGAATGCAGAACTATTTACTGTTTTTCCAGGGCAACAGCTAAGAGTTGCAGATTAACCCAAGATTAATTCTCGAAGTCACAGGAGTTTGCCTAATGGGCTAGCACTCCATTTTGAATAGGTTAAACCACCACTTGCTTTATTGTGGCAAGAGGCATTTGGGCCCAACATTTTCTTGAATTTTGGAATATCAAGACAATTTATTTCAGTGAATCTTAAGTGATAGAAGTGGGAGTAGGTAGATTGCATAAGAGAACTCAATAACTGGTCTTGAAAGACGCCATAGGAGTTAAAATATTTCTCTCGAATTTTTTTTTCCACACATGCTTTTTTATTTTGGGGTTTAATTTGGAAAAAAGGATGTCAAAAGCCTGTGTTGTTTATCTTTTATTGGGGGGCGGGGTCAGCAATCCTGTCTCAATTTTACGGCTACAAGCCATGCACATGGTTTGGAGAGTTTGGGATAAAATAGCTGAAACCTCGTGTGTGTGTGTGTGTGTGTGTGTGTGTTTACAAGCCTTTTGGCATTTTGTTTCTGGATTCACCAAATGTAGTTCATGTGATTTAATTCCAACAGCTTTTCCTCCCCCTTCAACATTGTTAGCGAAAAGTAAAGGTCAGAGTCTTCAACCTAATCATGAAAATAGAGGCCATTGCAGTAAATGATCTCTTCTGCAAATTTGCATTCCCTGTAAAGAAAACATTTACATGTAAACTCTGAACTTCAATTTTAAGTTTTTGCTTTCTAGAACAGTCATTTTTAAAAAACTTAACAGTCTGTAAAATAACTTCTGGAAAAAAGAGTATTTGAGAGGAAGTTTAAGAGGAGTCTTTATTATGAAAATCTTATCATAAGGATGCGAGTGAAGAGTGACCACTGTCATTTTCCACTGAGAAAAATAAAAAATTGAGTGACATGAAAGAAAATTTCTAATTTCCTCATTTTTACATTTCTCAGTGTAAGAAAACTTAAAATGTTGGAATCATTTGCATAGCGAAATTATGCAATCTGCTCTGGAGATCTAAATACAGGGTAAATGGTCAAGACTGGTGTATGTGTGGTCTTGGCTTTATCACTGTGGGATAAAACAGATAAATGTTAAAATTCACTTCTAGAGCTAAAACTCAAACCATAACTCACTAATTGGAATAGTGAAGGGTACTTTTTGCTCGACTTTGTGGCATTGTAAAGAAATAGAAAACACACACTTGTATATTTATATAAATATATAAACACAGTACACACAAATGCATATAATATGCTAGATCAATGTTAATAACCTCAATTTAGTTCTTAAGTCATTGTATGGAAATGGTAAATGTACTGTATAACCAAATCTTATCATGAATCTTACTGTCTAAATACTGGATTTGCATTACTGTGTTAGGAAAATAAAAGCTTTTGGTAAAACTAATGTTCAGTATTTGGGAATATGAGTTTCACAAATGTACTTGTTTTTAGCTGCCACTTTTTTAGGTTGGCAGTATTTTAATACATTGTTTTTATGTTCTTAGTTACTGATAAACATCAATTCAAACCAGAACAGATGTTATATAGATTTCGCTATGATGACGGAACATTTTATCCAAGAAATGAGATGCAGGATGTGATTTCAAAGGTAACAGCTTCTATAACCTTTTGTCGATAGCAGAATTCATGTGATACTTTAACAAGATAAAATGCTGTTGAGAGATTTAAAATATTCTTCTGGTACAGAAATTTTTTAAATGACATACATAAGCAAACCTCTCAATTTTGTCTTGCTAGTGTAAGAATTCTAATGTTAAATCATTATTCTCTTATCTAGTTCTAAATGGAAATAATGCAGCTGCATCATTCAGAAGTTTTTTATCATTGAAAGCTATTTCACATGTAGCAATAAGTGGTCATGATATGTGAATAAATGAAAACTACAAATATATAAAATTAATGTAACATTTTTTGTACACTTGACAAAATTTATATTGACATGCAATGAACCAGTAGTATGATATATTGCTGATGATAGATCTATTTTCTGTTTATTTTAATGTTTTAATTGATTTTAGAGAGAAAGGAAGGGGGAGAGAAAGAAAGGAGAGAGAGAAGGAGAGGGAAACATTGATGAGAGAGAAACATGGATTGGCTGTTTTCTGCATTAATCCCCTCTGGGGATCGAGCCTGCAACTCCAGCATGTTCCCTGACCGGGAACTGAACCGGTGACCTCTTGGTGCATGGGAAAATGGTCAACCCACTGAGCCACACTGGCCAGGCAGATTTATTTTCTGTTTACATTCTATCTTTTTATTTTCTATTTTAAGAAAAATAATTTGAAAAACCCTTTGTATATGTATATATCATACGTGTATGACAAATTCATGGCACAATTTAATCCTATTTTAATTATTTAAGTTACATTATTTTTATGAGTTACAACATATGCATTATATTGGAATGTAATATTTGAATAACTTTTATATTGATTGAGATTGTGTAATGATTCCAGAATGTCAGTGGTGGATAAATACATTTATTTCAGAATGTCATTTGTATATCCTTTTAGTGATCTTACTTGCTTTTGACATATCTTTATTTTACAATAGGGTGTAAGATTATATTGCCGTCTTCATAGTTTATTTACTCCAGTGATAAGGTGAGTCTGGTTTCTAATTTCTGGGCAACTTATATATCTGGAAATATTTGTATTGCATATTAAGTAAACATTATCTGGCTAGAAATTGTTGGTTTATTATTTTTTCTCCAAAAGTGAAAATTTTACTTTTAAAAATTATTTTAAGTAATAATTTATCTTAAAAATATTCCTAAATTTTCTGTGGCTCTAAATATATAGTTTCTGCCACTCTTTATTCTGACTTCTAAAATTACTTGCCATTAATTCACAGTAAATTATAAACTTGATAATGAAATGATCCATATTTAGTTAATATTTAATAAATAATAGTAGACTGGGAGATTTGGAGATATGGTTTACTATAAATACTTACCATTATGATTACTTGTCTATTAATTTTTACATTAAATTGTGTAATCTGATCTTAGATGTGTATTTTATTTTACAGTATTTCTTTCTAATGGTCTTTAATTCAAAGAAAAGATTTTATACTTGAAAATGAAGAATCACTTTGGAGTTAATAAATACAATTTAATAATTTTATTCTTCACAGTGTTTTTCCTTCTGAAGAGATATGCTTTTTATTATTTTAAAAAAGAGAGCAATAATGCCTTTTATTTTTTAAGAGGAATCAGGATTAATTTTCAGTTTATCTCTTTAGAAAGACAACAGAAAACTTTGAGTTTTGTGTTATGGTTAAACATAGAGGAGACCATCCAGCAGTATTATTGTGCTTTGTAAAGTGCACTGATATACACGATATATGTAATATACTATATATGTAATATACACTAACTGATAGAGTGTAATGTAATGTTAAGCTAATTTCAAATGGCCAGATATCATACAGAGTTTATTGACTTAAACATATTTTTCACACAAAAATATGGATGTACTATTTCCAGAATGAATATAGAGGCTTTTCAGTTGTGGCTATAGAATCCACATGTTTGATGTACACTGTTGCTATTTTATTTTATTTTTTTTATAATATATCTTTATTGACTTCAGAGAGAGGAAAGGAGAGGGAGACAGAGATAGAAACATCAATGATGAGAGAGTCATTGATCGGCTGCAGCCCGCAACCCGGGCATGTGCCCTGACCGGGAATCGAACCCTGATCTCCTGGATCCTAGGTCGACGCTTAACCTCTGAGCCACGCCCGGCTGGGCGACTGTTTCTAGTTTTTATTGTGGTTTCCAATTCCAAGGAGATGCAGAGCTTAATTAAAAATAAAAACATTTCAGAAGTTGTTTAAGTGTATTGGAATGCCCATTAACGCTTCATAGAGAACACACTGCAGGTTCTGGGGGAGAAGGCAGGATCTTACCCATCACTCCTGAAAGCGCCCCGTCCACTTGCACAGGAAGGCTTCACAGAGTAAAAAAAGGGGAAAAGAACCAATATTTGTTGATTCTCTGGCAAAGATTACCTGCAAATACTTTGGATAATTTAATACTAAAAGATGTTTGCTTAACTCGATAGCAAGTGGGTGCTTATTTTTATTTTACTGCTAAACTAATAAAAAACAGTAATGGATAAATTTTTCATGTCACCTGTGTAAATGTAGAGTTTATATGTGAGAAAATGTGTTCTGAAAATATATTTTAGGCATATGGAACTTCTTATCGAGAAAGTTACAGTCAGTGAGAGCTGATAAGAAGGAATTGTTCTTTGGCTAGAAGTGACAATTGTTTATGCGTTGTCAAGGGAAATTTTATGGGAAAAAAGTCCCATAAAACAGATGGAATGTATGATAGTCATGCTTTTAATATGTGTGAACTCAGCTTATGAAAAGAAAAATTACTTGGGTGAAGAACACATGGTATTCAACCTTCTTCTTTCTCATAATGCTTCTGGGGACCAAGAAGAAATGGATTATGAGGTATCAACAAGGAGATAGTGTTAAGATTTTAAAAATCTGCCGTCGATGACTGGCTAACCTAGTGCATTTACTATTGAAATCTCAGAAATTTCAACCCTGTTTCAGGGAACTCTTTATGAGAGTGGGTAAAATGATGTAAATATTAATTGTAAATCTCTGACAGAGGCTAGAAAACTGAATTTAGTTTATCACTTCAAGTTGTTTACAATTTGGATTTTTTTGTCGTTTTGGAAAGACTGTCACTTTCTCATTCCCTTTTTAAATTTTTTAAAAATTTATTGATTTGAGAGAGAGAGAGAAAGAGAAACATCAACCTGTTGTTCCACTTATTTATGCATTCTTTGGTTGACTCTTGCCTGTGCTCCAACTGGGGTTTGAACTCACAACCTTGGTGCATCAAGATGACACTCAACCAACTGAGCTACCTGGCTAAGGCTCTCATTCCCTTTTGATCCAGGTCTACAAACTTAATGAATTGTTGATTTTTGTCTTTGGGGCCTTGTTCTGATCATTAGCACCTTGTTGTATCCAACTAAACTTAGACTACTTTCTCAGATCTAGGAAGTGTACTGAAAGGAGTCTGATGTGGAGATACGTGACTACCTTGGTTCCCTGGGGATGTGGCATCATTGTGACAAAATGAATGACCCGGTTATCAGTGTATTTACCATAGGATAGACCTGCGGTCTTCTAGTACAGCTGAGCCAAATGAGCACTCCTTCAGAGCAAGTCCAATCTTCCCCGAGAAGTCAGGAGAGGGAATTAAATGGATTGCTTTCTTCTCCATATTTTGAGATGTTTCGTAGAATCTATCTTGATTTAAAGGGGAAAATTTTATTATTCTTTTATTAATGAGATATTATATTTCTAGGTAAGTTATTACCAGGTAATGTAAAGATATAAAAGAAATGTCCTATTTTGTTATCATTGTGGGTTTCTTCTATTGGTATGAGCTGATGAAGGAGTTTTCAGGTATTGTACAGACCATATAAACCTCTCTTATTTTCACATAATATGGGCAATCGATTCAGATTACATTGAGTAAATGTTCCTGTTGCACATATCAAATGAAATGTTTCCCTGTGCTCACTGATCTCCTTCCTTAATGTTTTTGGTTTCTTTTTTCTTTATAGAGATAAAGATTACCATTTAAGGACCTATAAATCTGTAGTCATGGCCAACAAACTGATAGACTGGTTAATTGCACAGGTAAATAGACAAATAAGAGTTGCTGAGTTATGGTCACTGTTGATGTAAATTTAAGCACGTAATTTAGGTACTTTTTTTTTTAATCCCCACCCACAGATACACAGTGAAATAACTTGACTGATTCATACAACTAATGTGAAGCAGAGTTAGAATTTGAACCAAGATAATCTATTTGACTTCAGAGTCTTTAGCTTAATTTTTGTGCTACATTGTCTTTCAAGAAGATGTTCTTATTTTTAAATGATCAGATGAGATACTTAGTAAAAAAAACAAAAAAACATAATTTGAATATCACTGAAAAGAAGCAATCAATGGACATAGACTAAAATTTTTTGCATGTTTTTTTACTGTTTTAAAGTATCTGTTTATTAGTCTTAACAAGTTATTCTAATCTTCCTCGACTTTTTTCTCTGTTGGATAATAATTGTGCTTGAATACTATGAGCTTTAATAACCATCTCCATACATTTTAAGTAGGAAAGTACAAAATTTGTTGTTTAAAGTTTTGGAACATGAAATTTCTGTGTAATAAAGTTTAATTCTGTAATAGCGTATGTTGGAGAAAGTACCAAAAATTGTGATAATTTAGAAGTGGGATGAAGAAATACTAGATTAGAGTGTTCACACAGAAATGGCATTGACAGAGAGAAGATAGATTAGGGAGACTACCTAAGTGCTAAAAGGACTAGGAAAAATGAGATACTTATGTGGAAAGCACTTCTTAAATTGTAAAACATACAACTCCAAGGTTATATACACACATACACACACATATACAGTTACATTTTCATACATATGAATCTATACTTATATGAATAAAGTAGATCCCGTGACAAGAGGTTGCACTGGGCTTTCTCTACGGGTTTATATGCTCTGATTACTTTTTTGGGAATATAATGAAAGAGAAGCTTGCATTTGCTGGTTCAGCCAAAAATTTTACTCTAATAGTTTTACCAGTCACCCTACACTAGTAAGTTTCTTTAGGGGTGTTTAAAGAGCAAGACCATTTTTTGGAAGGGAAGTGATAGCTGAGATCATGCATAATGATTTACTTAGCTTTATTTTAAAGTGATTTCAATATATAGGATATTTCCTTGATGTATAATTAGGATACGAGATTGAAGGAGTAAGACAAAGGAGTCATTTTTGGTAGCCATAAATTTTAGCTACTTATATGTTTTCATATTTAATAAAGTATGGTTTTTCTCAAGAAATATTAAATCTTTGTTTTTCATTTAATATCAAAAGAAGATGTTTTCTTTATCAAGTAAATGATTTATAGCAATTAGACATATTGTGGGCTTATGCAAGCAATGAATACCATAATATATAAATGGCTTTGCCCGTTTAGTGCTGGGAATATCAAATGTAGTAAAGATGCAAGCCTTCGGTTGCCTATTAACCTGTCCACTGCTTTTACGGTTAACAGGGGGATTGCCGCACCAGAGAAGAGGCCATGATATTTGGGGTTGGACTCTGTGACAATGGATTTATGCACCATGGTAAGAATTTTTATTCTGGAAGCTTATATAGTTCACTGTTTTGTTTTTGTTAGGATACTGGGAATATGTCAGTTTTCCAGTGAAGTCATTCAGAGGTGAACCAGCAAGACTATCTGGGCCTTGCCATTGTCCATGTCTCAACATAAAACCCCAAATTTCTACTGTGCTGTGGGACCACTGCCTCCCCCCCTCTAGCTCCTTGGCTTAATGAATCAACCTGTCCCAACAAAGTACTCTTCAAGGTACTAAGGAAAGATTAATGGAAATAGAAAAGATTTCTAACACATTTTCACTGCTGTCAAGATCTTGCAGAATACAAATTCTTTCTATTGGTATTTAGCCTTATTTTTAAAAGGCTTATAAAATATAAGCCTTGTATCATTAGGATATGTGAGCAATCTTAGGGATTTGGGGGAAATTATTAATGTTCATATGAAAGGGAAAGAACTGACCTTTGCAAAAATAAGGTTATTTGAGAATAATGCTTTGAAACAAATGAACTAAGAATTAATGGAAACTAAAATCACATTTCACCCAGAAGACATATTTCTGGTTTCAAGTGTTAGAACAAAGTGAGCACAATGGGAATTGCTCAGATACACAAAGACAACACTTAATCCATTTGAATTTTCCCATAATTGTGCACAATATTAAAAACATACTTAAAATGTTTACTACAAATTCAAAACATGGTAGTTTTCTATATTTTGGATTGTATACATTTTTACTCAATATGATCTTTTATTTAAATTTAGGCTTTAATCTGGAAAGTTAAAGACTTGGTTAACTACAAAACTAACACTGAAAAAAGTATACCTTGTATTAAAATACTCAAAATCCTTTAGGTAACAGTAGCTTAAAGGAAATATTGGCTTGAAATTATAGAAAGAAATAGAAAAATATCTTATGGATATTAGTGAATGTAACTTGTTCTAGGCGTATAAAATTGAGGCCATGGCACAAGTATTACTTTAATGAATGTCTTTCAGTTTGGACAAAGAGTTTGATTTTTGGATTAATTGAAACAATTTGAATCTCTGATTCCTTAGTCCTTGAAAAAAGTGAATTCAAAGATGAACCTCTACTTTTCCGTTTTTTTGCGGATGAGGAAATGGAAGGATCCAATATGAAACATCGACTTATGAAACATGATTTAAAAGTTGTGGAAAATGTTATAGCTAAATCATTATTGGTAAGTTTATTAATATGTTATATACATTTTCTCCTCGGTTAGATATTAGCAGGAGGTTACATAAACATGTTTGGTGATATATATTATTTCATTCTGTTGGATTTACAAACTTTTTTCCTACTTGCCTTACTAATAATGTTAATATTTTGCATTTCAGATTAAATCCAATGAAGGAAGCTATGGTTTTGGGTTAGAAGACAAAAATAAAGTTCCAATAATTAAGTTGGTAGAAAAGGGGTCTAATGCTGAGGTAATGTAAATTAGCATTTTTATTTAAATTTGTTGCCCATGATATATAAATCCAAAATTTCTAAACTAATTGAAATTAGCCTTTTAGTAACCTTATTGAAAATAATGTTTCTGAGTAATTTGATTCTGAGGTTCTAACAAATACTCTTGAGATCTGTGAGAGGGGTCATGTCTGGGTACTCAGGTGTAGTTTTGGGGTGGGATTGGAGATATCTACAGCTGTCAACTTCTTGACCTCCTGGGAGGCCAAATGCCCTTAGGACTTCCCTGTTCACTGATTCTAGCCTGGAACCCTGTGGAAATTGTGTAGGTTGGGACTGTTACTCAAGATAGAAGGTTCTTCCATTAATTCAAAGGCTCTGTCTTATATTTTCCTTTCGCTTTTGATTGTCATATAAATACAACTTCCATCAGTAAAGCACAATCTTTGATTTATTTTTTTCATTTTAATTCTGATTGATGTTCTCTCACCTCACCAGCCTTTTAAACCAAGACATCTGGTCATTTCATTCATTCTTTTGGATTTATTTATTTGGTACCTATTGTATGCTAGGTGGGGTTCTAGGCTATGGGAATACAGCAATGAACAAAACAGACAAAATTTCCTGTCCTCATGGAACCTACTTTCCAGTGTTATAAACCAAGTTTATCAGAGTTAAAGTTTTCTCACCTTGCTTCCTGACTTGTAAGATGCTTATTCCCTCAGCAAACTTTTCAATATTTCAATCTTTAATAAAGAATGTGATAATAAATGAAACATGGCTTTTAACTTTGAATCTGTTTAGTTAGTAGTAAACTGTCACCCATCCTCTCACCTGCTAATGCCCAAAGTCTCTTGTGCAAGACAAAGCTTCATGTGCAGCACATTAATGTCAAACAAAATAATTCTGGTCAACTCATACTCTGTTAGTGGGCCTGGTCATCAGATGACTATTTTTAGTAATTTTCTGTGAGAAGGAAATGTTTCTCCCAGACATTTTTAGAGGATGTTCCTAGAGCACAGCTTCATCTGACTATGCCTCTGATAAAACGCCTTCTCCCAGGTTTTCATCACTTATCTGGTAACTAAAAGAGCATATAGTTTATAGGCAGTAGGTTTGGTTAAGACGAGTGACCTGGTTGGCATGGAGAGATAATGTCTATCTATCATCTATCTATCT